GTCATTCTGTCTGTCCCACGTTTTTCTACTCACTGACGTGGTCAATCTATGTGAAACTGCACATAGGCATTGAGGATTGGCATAGGTAGAAGGTGACAAACCTACCAATGGGTATGGACTAGTAATACAAATATGTAAAGAATTCCACTTGTATTCTTATTTCAAATGCATGATTAAATGGACTTGGCTAACAAAGCAACTTAAAGTAAATACACATTAGGGAATTTAGGTATAGAGATGTTTCCTTCTTTGAAATCCTCTGCACTGTCCTGGAGATACATTAGTAGGTAAATGTGATTTGTTTAATGCAAACTGAAACGAATGTGAAACCTAGTTTAGTAGTTTATATGGCAACACATCACACAGCTCATTGCTTTTATTATTTGGTTAATTAGCACAAGCCTTAGCAATACTGCTCTTTGTTTGTGTCCTCTGCGCCCATGAGCATGATTCAGTGAATGAGTAACAAAGATATCTGAAAATTATTTGGAATATTCAGGAAGATCAGCCAGCATGATGAGGCCAAATCAAATCCTCTGTGAGTCCAGTATAAACTCATTTTCTCATATATTTGAATAAACACCGGCCCACCCTGCCAATGAAACACAATTTACAGTCTGTCTGTGTTTTCACTTGACCCTGCTTGTCCTTTGCAGTGCCCTGGGATTCTCAACCTATAAAACAGGTATTATTATCCTCAGCTAGTGACGTAATTTGGCGGAATATTCTACAAGGACACTGTGCCTGGCATCGGTCCTAAGGGGAATGTCACGGCCCTAACCTCATCTCCAGCTATCATTGGCTCTGTGTTCATATTCACCAGGAAGCAGAGCAGAAAGGAGGGAAATCATGGGTGAGGCAGACAGACAGAGTGATGAGGAAAAAGAGGAAGGAATAAAAGACAGAAGAGAAAAGACAGAAGAGAGGAAGGAATGAAGGGAGGAGGAAAGAGAAAAGGAAGGGGGGTCAAAAGAGGGAAAAAACAAAAGACAGACGACAGAAAGAAGGAAGGAAGGAAGGAAGGAAGGAAATATGTAATGAGTAGAGAAGGAAAAAAGGAAGGAGGGAAGGCAGGAACAGAAGACATATGAAAGAAAGGTATTAGGAAGGAAGGATGGAATTAGGAGAGATGGGAGAGGAGGAAGAAGAAAAGGAGTAAGGGAAGGAACAGAAGACAGAAAGAAGGAAGAAGGAGAGATGGAATAAGGATGGAGGAAGAGGTGGAAGGCAAGACAGAAGGAAGGAAGAAAGAACAGAAGGAAGAAAAATAGAAAGGGAGAAGAAAAGATGGAATAAGGAAGGAATGGAGAGGAGGAAGGAAAAGAAAAGGGTAAGACAGAAGCAAGCAGGAAGGAAAGATGAAATTAAGGAAGGAAGGAAGGAAGGAAGGAAGGGGGAGCAAGGAAGGAAATATGTTATGAGTAGAGAAGGAAGACGAGGAAGGAGGGAAGGTAGGAAGAAGGGGGGAAGGAAGAAGGAAAGTAAGGGAAGGCAGAGGCAAGGCGGAAGGACATAAACAACAAAATACACAAGGAAGTGGGGGAACAAAAGGAAGGAAGGAGGAAAGGAGTGAAAGCAGGAACAGAAGACATGAGAAAGAGGGGAATGAAGAAGGAAAGATGGATTGAGGAGAGAAGGAAGAGACGAAGGAGGGAAGGAAGGAACAGAAGGTTGAAGGAACAGAAGACGGAAAGATGGAAAGTGGAGGGAAGGAGTGTAGGACGGAGGGTTATGTAACAAAAGACAAAAGGAAGAAAGAAGAAAATATGGAATAAGGAGGGAATGGAGAGGAGGAAGAGGGGAGGGACAAATCAAAAATGGAAGGAAGGAAGGAAGGAAGGAAGGAAGGAAGGAAGGAAGGGATGAATGAAGGAAAGGGGGAAGGGGGGAAGCAAGGAAGGAAATATGTTATGAGTAGAGAAGCAAGATGAGGAAGGAGGGAAGGTAGGAAGAGGGGGGGGTGGAGGGAAGGAAGAAAGGGCAGAAACAAGGAGGAAGGGAAGATGAAATAAGAAGGGAAGGGAGAGGAGTAAGGGGGATGCACAGAACCAAAAATGGAAGGAAGGAGGGAAGGAAGGAGGGAGGGGAGAGAGGGAAGGGGTGCAAAGGAGGTGAAAAACAATAGAAAGAAAGGGAAGGAAGGAAGAAAAGAAGGGAGGAGGGGGAAGCAGGGAGGGAAATATGAGTAGAGAAGGCAGATGAGGAAGGGGGAAGGCAGGAAGAAGGAAGAGGGAAGGAAGAAAAGACAGAAGCAAGAGGGAGGTAAAGAACTGAAATAAGCAGGAAGGGGGAGAGGGTAGGAACAAAAAAAGGAAGGAAGTAAGGAAGGCTGGAGAGATATAAGGGGCTCAGTGAAAGCTGATACCTTCCTCCCCCCTCCCACTGCCTGAATATATATGCATAAGGACGACTGGCCCTCTGTCCTTTAAAATTACTCCTGAAGACAGGAAGAAATAACATTTAGGACTGAAACAAGAAAAGAAGTATTGACAGACTAATCATCTTGGACATTTTAGTTTTACTTTGTATTTACTCTTCACCCTAAAGCAACTTTGATAAGTCTAATCAGCCCCTAGCGGGATCCCAACACTGAACGACTCCATATGCCTCACGCCCTGACGCTGACACACGTAGGCTGAGGAATTACACAGGAAACACGATCCTGTCACGACAACTTTGCAGGACTGACACTTTAAAAGCTTTTCGAAAGTGATGTCAACATTCATATAAAACAGGCAGCCATCCTGGCGATCACCTTGTTTTTTTCATCGCCGTGGCTAAATAACCTGTTAATGCAACACTGCAGTGCGCACGCCGCAGTAGTTGGCAGCATTCAATGAAGGTCGCAAGTGGCTCTCTCTTATGCAATTAACCCAGTTTCTCAGTGAGACGGCAATCTATGGGGAAGCAATTAAAATCCAAATTCTTCCCAGTGTGTGGACTTCACAGAGGAAAAAAACCTTGGACAGACTAACATTTGTTTGGAGGCGTTGATTAACAATTTTCTTTAGATATCTGAATTCTAAAAAAGAAAAGGTTAAAGAAGGAAGGAGGCAATGCAAGGAAAGAAAACAAAATATGCAGGACGGAAGAGTGGATTAAACTAAATGAGACGGAAAGAAGGAGGAAGTGAGAACAGAAGGAGCAAAATGACATTTGGGAATTGTCACTTGACTCTTTTCTTTCATCTGAACCATGATTTAGCTAAAAATCTATTATTCTGTGTTCGATACTGAACCGATTTTTAATTTATTCCCCAATTATTTGTTCATGAATGCAAGGCAGCTCATGCATAAAATCGTATCAGCTCACTTGACTCCTCTTAAAACAAACACAGCCAATAGAAAAGAAGATGCTCCCTCCATCTATGTATTTGTTCTCAAACCTGACTCTGCGTGTGCGTGTGTTGTGTGTAAGCGTACTGTGTACTGACCTTGAATTCCTCCTGCGGGCAACAAACAATCCCAAGTCTTTTCCCCTCCTCCCACAGATGAAGGTTGCAAGGTGAAGTCTCTGTGTGTGCTGAGGAAGAAGTCCTCCACCTCCTCCGTTCACTCTTTCACCTGCAGGAAAACAATGAGGAGAGGCAGAGAGCAGTGATATGAGAAATTGCACAGATGTCAGACTTTTGTGTGGCATCTAATCCTTTTATTTTAGAGAAGACAGAACACTGGGTCGGCCCAAACCCTGACTGAGGTCTGGAGTTAGATCCATGCTCTGAGGGTAGCATTGTGTTTGCTTTCTACACTTATTTTTTTGGTGATTATTGTGATAAATATCTGCGTTCGCTGAGTTTTTTCTGAAAAGAAAAAGGCATAGTGTCACACAGGAGGGATTTTAATTCAGCAGGGCTCCTTAGAGCTTTTATAAATTGGGTTACTTAATCAAAAAGAGCTTTTTTTATATATATAATGCAAACACTCACATACTGTAAATATACAACAGCAAGCTGTGGGCGTTACATGCTGTAACATTTCTGTTTGTGTGCAGGTTTAACAAATTAGATAAGATGAGTTAATTAGTGAGGTTTGAAGGTGCTGGTTCATGTTTTTTTTTTTCTTTTTAGCGTGGACTGAAGCAGGCAAGCTGTTCCCCGTGTCTAGCCTTTATGCTAAGCTAAGCTTAATGCCCTCCAGCTCCATACTTAATGCATACATAAGATTATTATCGATCTTATCATCCAGTTCTCAGAGAGAAAGCAAAAACATCTTTCCCAAATGTTTTCTTTTTAAATGATAGACATTTGCAGTGGACGGTATGTAGGGCTGGGTATTGCTTAAACCATTTTCAAAGCAGTACTAATACCAGTACCCTTAAAGTGATGACAAGAGAGTACGTCATTTGATACCCATAATGTGAATGGAGCGGCATGTAGTATAACCGTACTTTTAAACCTTTTGCTGGTATCTCGGCACTCTCTACGCTGAGTACGAGGTTTTACCCTTGGGCTAATTATACAGGATGCTCAAATTTAAACTGAACCTTTTTAAAAATTCATTTGTGCTAACCTCCATTAAGATTTTAAATAATGTAGCTTGATGCTTAGGGGTTGTGTTGTGTTGTGTTTTGCTTATGGTGCTCTGGTGTGTGCTGGTGTTATGTGCAATACATGAGTGGCTGATGTGCAATACTGTTGTAGTATGTGTTTTTATGTTTTTTTTTTATGGTGTATGCTTTTCATTTCTTCTGGACTATTATTGTAAGGGAGCAGTTCCTGAGTGCAGGACAAATTTCCCTACTGGGACAATAAACTATATTGTATCGTCTCGTCTCATCTCGTCTTGTCTCGTCCCATATCGTATTGTATCGTATCGTATCATATCATATGGTAAACTGCCAACACTGTCAAATACACCAGGGACAATTGTCAAAGTCTCCCTGCACACACACTGTCAGGGCTAACTATTAGCATCACATGGCTAATGCTACCAAAAGGCTACTAACAGTTTAATGACAGCGCTGAGCCGTTTCTGTGGCAGAATGACTTTGTTGGGAACATTTAATGGCTTGGTGTTGGATGTTAGCCCCTGCTGAGTTGTTAGCTCTTGCTAACCAGGCAAACATTAAACTGACTGTTTGACGGGAGAATAGCGGCTCTGGAGATGGCAGCAACAGAAAGTTTGCTGATCCAGTGGAAAGTGGGAACAGACCAGGATCAGACCCTCTGCGCAAAAAAGACTTAAAGCAGATATTGTTTGACTGGAGACCTTTTGATTGTACTTGGTACTGAGTTATAATAGTAGATACCTTAAAGGTATACAAATACTGAATCCTAGTCTTAATGGTATCTCTCATGGTGTGACAGCTATCTAGTATGGCATTGTATGTCTGTGAGGGCTTTTCAAGTTCTTTCAAGAGAAAGTTTTGATGTAGAACTTTCATGACTGGTACGACTGAGACAATTTTTCTAGGGAAACATATTGCCTTAGCAGAATAAACCAGCTGTATCTGCACAGCTAAACACCACAAGGCTGAGCTGTCCCTTGAAAAAGTGTATTTGAAAAATAATGAAAACAAAACAATGTTAAAAGCTGAGCAACATTACTGTTTGTCAGGTTTCAGTACAGACAGTACATTTTTGAAAGTACTAAAGGCTTTTTCAGCCAGAAACCTTTGATCTTGCCATCAGTAAAATGCACCATGCTTGTGCCTGAATTTCATCTTCTTGGCTGACAGAGGCTTTTTCTCTCATTTTAATTCATCCCATGTGCCAGTGACCAAACCAACATCTGAAACAGGTTAAAATATGATATGTACATTGGCATGAGCCAATTTTTAGTGTTGCACTACCAGTTTGTAGGTTATTTTAATATAACAGGTGTATTTCTGACATAAGAGTATTTTCAAGTGCACCTTCCATCATCTCACGAGGCTCCTCTAACCTTGGACCCACTGCTGCTCCCCACCATGCTGCCTCACAGGTCATGCAATGAGGTTGCCACATCATAGAGCCTTGGGTCAACATGATAATTGGGGGCGCCTCTTTGTGTCACGCTGACTTTACAAATCACTTCAACGTGTTTTCGGGGTAGGAGCCCACAGCGTACATCACTCAGCCACCAGCCAGCTTCACTCGGAGCTAAGTGCTGTGCCAATTATTGCATGACACCGCCATCCATATCTGTTCTCATGGAAATTCATAATTTATGACACATCCTCGCTTCTGCCTCCGGGGACCTGAATGCTATTATCCTACTAAAGTGAGATCTGATTGGGCAGCTGCTATCTCACTTGCTTCTTTGAAGTCATTTCTTCAAGTGCCCCTCTATAGCCCCTATAATGTATCATCGTCCAGCAGAACAGACATACCGGGAGCCAGATCAACACCAGCTATCCTTCTCTCAAAATGGCAACTATAGAGTTTGACTGCGAAATAACCCTTCTTTAGAGTACAGCCTTAGTGCTGAGATATTTGAAGCCACATTTTCTGTTGTGTTCCAGTTCCTCCATCGTCCTTTCTATTTTGTAGATGGATAAATGGGTTCATGAACTGTTCCTGTGCTTTAATAAACTTAGTCCACACACAACAATACACACAATCTCTGTGCTGCATTTCACACATATGCAGTATCATTCAATGGTGAGAAAAGGCTATAACATTAAAAATACATTAAAGGGTAAATTTAGTATTTTTCAACCTGGACCAAATTTCCCCATGTTTTTGTGCCTAAATGACTCATGGGAACAACATTTATTAAACTGATCTGACAATTTATGGCGAGTATCCCTATAGAGACAGCTCTTTTTTTCTAAAGGGTAAGCTCATTTTTTTAAAAAAAAAACAGAAACAGCCCAGAAACCACTATCACCAGACCCACCAGACTCCATTTATATAAACAGTAATTTTATCAGTATGAAAACACACTTCATTCAGAGCTGACAGACACAAAATAAAACTCACAAAAAGTGCCTTGGTTCATTTTTCCAGTGTTCCAACAACCGCCAGCTCTGGTTTGGTTTAAATAAACCCTAATTCATCCAGTGAGATGTGAAATTATGCTGGCTCTATACATGCTAAAATTACTCTTTACTTAAATGGAGTTTGGTGGAATTGGCAAAGGCAAATTTGGTGCCGTTTCTCATTTAACATAGAGGATTTTGCTCTTTAACAAAAAGGGACTATCTCTTTTTAAGCTAAACTTTATTATGACTTGACTTTTCAACCTACCAACTTAACTTAAATAGATTCCTTCAACCTAAAACTTCTATGATTAGCTTGATTTTTCTCCCTAAAACTTATATTATAAGCTTGAGTTTTCAACCCACCGTTATTTGCTTACATGAGCCTCTTTTTCTTAGGGGTTGCTTTGCCTTTTACTTATGTTTCCTGTGTCCCCTGTCTCATGTTTGCTTTCAGTCTGTGGCTGAATCCAAATCTCCACCCTCTGGACTTGCAGACTTAGCCCTCGCGGACTTCAGGCGTACGTAATGTGTCTGCAAGAGCGGGAGTCTGCAGCATTATAAAAGGAGCTAATAGACAGGCTTGGAGTCTGTTTCACTCGTTTCCTTGGGAACATTTGAGAGACTATCATGTATATGGTGATCACTGCAGCACTCGCCTATGTGATCAGATTGCACAGCTTTTATAGGCTATAAGCCGCAATATCAAAAATGCATATTGATTATCTCCATAGCCTATACTTCTACATATTTCTGTATCAATATGTTGTTGAATTTTATATCTGGCCTACATTACTCAAGTAATGTTTTAATATTACAATTTATAATAAGTGTATGGGGTTTTGTGTGTGTGTGTTTTCTGTCAGCAATTTGGAAAAATTAAAACGACACATCTGTATTGCAATGAATTGTGGGTAATTAAACTAGTGAAGTCTGCTAAAGTCTGTACCCCAAGCGGACTCTCTGGAAGTCCACACAAAGTCCGCTTGAGGCCCCTTGTAGACTGAATGATTTGTGGATTTGGACAGCCCTAAGCACTCCCGGACTTCCAGTGAACGCGCCAGTAAAGTCCACGAGTCTGCAAGTCTGGTGAAGTGCGGACATTTGGATTCAGCCTGTCTCTGTGTGTCTGTTGGGCTTGGCCTCCTGGTTCCTTCCTCCTGCCAATCCCCGAGTGCCAGCAGCTGCTGCCTGAACCTCATCAACAATCAAGCAGTTGCTGTATAAAACCATGGCTCAGACGTCCACACTCAGATTGTTCAGTCTCCTCTGCGGTACAGATGTCAAGGCCAACTTCTAAGTTTTTTGACACCTTGTCTCTTTTTGCTTTTTGGACCTCAATTCACCACGCCTGCTTCCACTATAACCATTTATGTCCAGCCTCGTCTTCTGCCTCTGTATTTGGACTGCTCGGTCTTCAGCCCCTCTGCCTGCTCTGCTTCACCATTCCCAGCCCACCTCAGCCATCATTTCACTCAAGCTTTCAGCCCCTCACCTTCAAACTACTGTACAATAAAGTGTCTTTAACCATTCACAGTTTCCTGGTTGCGTTTGCGTTTGGGTCCTAAGCTGAACTGTCACAACACTTTGCTTTCAATTCAGGTGTGTTTAAATCCATCAAGCAATGCTAATAAAAAAATAATAATAATGATGTGATATGGTA